ATACGTATAGTTCATCATTGTCTAGGTATGGTTTAAAGTCGCTCTTAGTTGTAATTTGTTTCTCAATCTTCACGAAATCCTTAAGATCATCTTTTTACTTTCTTGAAAAGGAAAACCTAGCCGCCAAAAACCAGAAGACAACTTTTTGATGAATAACTTCTGATTAAATACAAAGTACTCATGGAAATTTTATTATTTTTCATATCAATTACAAAAATACAGTGCATTGTCTGTACTAAGAAAAATATCTAGCTTATAAATACGGCTACTCTCTAGTTACAAGCATTCATTGCTACTTTAAACTATAGAAAATAACTTTTTGTATAATTTATGGCATTGATATGCAACAGCTTGTCTTTCAGAATAAAAAAAAATTTTGTTTTCTTATTACAAAAAAGACAATCGAGAAATAGATTTGTTTTTCGTTCGAGGTACAAATTAACAAATGACTTTTTAATCTAAAAATAGAAAGTTACGTTTGTTTTTGATTATTAACATTTTTATTTTATCTTATAAAACAGTTAAATAAACATACTTTCATTGTTAACATTGTTGATTGTTGTGTTGTATCAGTTGTTCGATTTGGAAGATGTGATAATCCACTTGCTCCTCCTTGTATACTATTTCCACTTATAGTTGAATTAACAATAACATATCCATTGTTTTCTGTTTCAGTTAATGATTGTTGTTTTTCTTGTTGTATAATTGATTCATTAGAGGATAAAACAGGTAATCGTGTTGCCCAATTAACAGTAGCTAATTTTTCTTTAAGACGATCAGCAACAGGTGAAACAAGATTTGATGATGGAAAAATACATGTATGACATGTTGGACATGTATAACCGTCAGGTGCTGTATGTGATGGTAACGAACGAAAATATTCATCAAGACATGACCAATGAAATAAATCATAACAAATAAGCCGTATCGTTTCTTCACCTGTGTCACTTAATGAACGTTGACATAAAGTGCAATTTGGATTATAATCATTATCTTGTAACCATGATATATAAGAACGTACAATACATTGTGAATGTTCATTAACAAGACATGATTCACAAACATTAACATGATGTTTAAAACAAAATAAAGTTGATACTTTGCGTTGTGGACATCTGGCAAGGCCCATGATTTA